CGAAAACCGAATCGGACAGATCAATTAATGAGGAAAGCGAACAAGAATTCATTGAACAACACCCCTTTCCAAATGAAAGCCTCCACTCATATCGCGAGATGGGTGAGTGGGACGCGTCGTGTGTAGACAGGGACGAGTATGCCTTGCCACTCTGGGATGGGCATGTCGAGACTATCCGTTTGGGTACAGTTTTTCGTACCAAGGAAGAAGCTCAGACTGGTGTTATGGCCTGGAACGTTGAGAATCTTAGGGCTGTCCGGACAAAAGATTCGAACAAGAGGTCGTTCAAAGTTGTGTGTAGATCGGATGAAGTTCCACCATGTATATGGAAGGCTCGGGTGAGTCTTAACACACGGGTTCTGTACAAAATTTATCATTAATATTTTTTTTTACTTCTCAAATTAATACATCCTATTAAGTGTAATCATGTATTTTTTTTCTATTATATTATAATAATAGTTATTGCTAATACCAACTAATAATAATTCACAATAAATATAAATTACATAATTATAAACAATTGTTTCAAGTTATTTATATTAACATTAGTATTATCTTTTTCTTTTGTACCTTCTGAAAAAATTTCTTTAAAAACAATTAGTAAATTGTTTTAATAGCATAGGCAAACAACTTTAAAATCTTATAAACAATTGTTTATCAGTAATAATAATAATAATAATAATAATAATAATAATAATAATAATAATAATAATAATAACAATAATAATAATAATCATAATAATAATCAAACTATTATTATATAATGATAATAAACAATTGTTCATAATAATAAAATCGTTAATTTATTTTTCCTAATGATCAAATTTTTGAAAATGTAATATGTTCATTATTTAGAATTTTAATATTAAATTCTCAAATATTACTTAGATTATTTTATGTACATCTGTGCATGTGCACAGGATATCTACTTCCAGTATTTTCCTAATTGTTCTTTATTTGAAGCAAGCAAACCTTCTAATAGCTCTTGGTTGTGGTCCACCTGGCTGGATGTGCTTCCTCTGTTTCTAAAGGCTTTGCCGTTGAGATCAGATCTGGTGCTAATACTATGCTGTCTGATGTGAATTGGGTGCCTAATTTGAATAAACTCAAACCTGATCTTCTTGATTTGGCCAGGGGTCACATAACTTGGGTCAAAGAATTGCTTAATGTCTCAGGCACTGGTTGGAACTCATGTATCTCAGCTCTTCAATGCTGATGATTGTAAGGCTATTCTAAACATTTCAACTCTGAAACCTGGAGCATCTGACAGATTTTACTGGTCCTTTGATAAGAAAGGAGTGTTTTTTGTTTCAAGCACTTATTCCTATCTTACTGCTCAGAAACTTCTTTCCCTGGACTTACCTTGCAGCAGCTCTTCTTCCTTTGGAATCAATGCTGGCTTTAATCGATGTTGGAATCTTAAAGTTGCTGGAAAAATCCAGCATTTCATATGGAAATGTCTTTCTAGGACTCTACGGGTGAAGGAAAATCTTAAGAAACGAGGGATGGATATGGATATCATTTGTGAGAAATGTG